ACTCCGGCTCCATGCCTGCTGTGTCTTTATTCCCCGTGCTTGTGTGAGAGCAGCGGCCTGATTTGGAGAGCCTCGGTGAGGCCGCAGCAGCAAACTGTGCCAGCCGGAGACAGCAGCTTTTTGCCAGGCTTCAAGTCCGACGAACAGGGAAACAGCGGCAAAAACAGCTGGGGCAGTAAAAAAACCAACCCTAAAAGCAGAAATGTGAAGCTTCTTCCAGTTTCACGCCATAAATAAACCCAAGATACTTGCTTTTTCCGTCCCTTTAATCTGTTTGTAACTAAAATCAGTAAAAAGGCTTATTGTGCGGGGGTATTTAGGGGAGAGCGGAAAGGCACGCTGCAGGAGGGACGCGGTGGCTCTTGCACGAAGGGGCCATTTCAGCGCTTTTCCAAAAATCTCATCAATTGGGGAAAGAGCCCCGTGTGCTCTCGCCCCCCCAAGACATTTCAAGCTCCATCCTCATCCTTCGCCACCCTTGGCAGCAGGGAACGACCGGCTGGATGAACTCAACCCGGGCTCTCTCCGTGTATTTATTTATTCTGGGCGATTCTGCTCCTCCCCGCACAGGGGCTTTCCAGACGGTTCCTGTTTATTTTTGGGAAAGGAAAGACCGCGTCAAGGAATTGGTATGAGCCGGAGCTGCTTTCCAACAAGCCCTAAATCGTGATTTCTTTGCTGCCGTCCCCCACCCACCCCTTCAGCTCCTGAAGGATAACCTCTCGCTAGCACATCCGCCTCCGTATAGCACCCTGATCTTTTTTTTTTTTGCAAATAATGTGTAGCAGGAGGGCAGGTTTGGCTTAAATCCCAATCTCTCAGTCACTGGTGGGAGATGTTATAGCCAAGGAGCCCTGCTCCAGCCCAGCTTTCTCCCAAAACTGCGAGCAAATGATCCCAGCTTTCCTCTCACAGTGCCGGGTGCTCCGTACCGAGGTGCCAGCCCAGTGCCGGCGAAAAATCATGCTAAATTCCAGAGAGAGAAACCTGCCGTGCCAAAAGGGATGTTTGTGCAAGATATCGCGTGCACCAGGAAGAGAGTGGCCAAACTGCTTTCAGGTCAGGCGGGAAAACAGCCCTTTTCCCCCCTAAATTCCCTGCCTGGCTCATTAGAAACGAGCAGAGATGCCAGTACTCGGCTCATCACAGGCTCACGCGACCTGAGGGCAACTGCTCCCTCCTGCCCGAGGCCAGGCGGTGAGCAGTGCAGGAGCGGGGATGGAGGGAGAGCGTGTCTGCAGGAGAAACTCCTCTCCTTGATTTAAGGTCCTTGAATGACGGCAATTCCTCACGCTTCGTGCTGCGCTCTGCCGGCACTTAATTACCCTCACTGGTAAAAGCTGGCCTCTTATTTCCACCTTGACTTTGCTGACTTCAGCTTCCCTGCTGTTGAATCCCGCTTTGCCTTTGGCTGCTAATTAAAAAGCCCTTCAGCGTTCACCGGCTGCTCCTTGCATAGGTAATTACGGACCGTGCCCCAGCCACCTCTTCACCTTCACAGCA